TTCTCATAATAGTTTACAAGCAACGCACAGATCCTAATTTACCTTTTTCTTTTTAACATGGAACCATTCTTTAAAGGATTGTATATAAAGGGTTCTCAAACTACAAGCTAGGTTGTGTCTTTATTGTCATCTCTTCGAAAACAAGTTTTCTTGTTGACATTGATTTTAGCAAGAGCTAGGTAGAGGAGCATTTCGACCATTTCCATTACTAAAAGGTTTGATATACTTACAGTTCTCTTTGATTGCTTACTGCTTACTTCCTATATTAAAGTTGGACTATTTCAAAAGCAAAAGGGGAAACCAGTAATAATTTACTTTCTTCTTTTTTGCTTGTTTATTTTAGAAGCAAGAATGTGAATCTCGATTTCAAGAAATGTAATACATTTTTTTTTCATATATAATGAACTAAGAAAAAAAATCTGGCCTAAATAATATAACAATTAAATCTTTTGTTTTTCCTTGTTATATTTAGTTTGAACCTCTACCCTTAATCACTATATATGGAGTGTTACAGAATATAAAATAATATAAATTATATTTTAAAATTTTATCTAACAATTTAAATTATTTTGTTGAGATAATTCTTTCTTTGATATGATATCAGAGCTTTCATTATCAAATCATAAGAATTTTATCATATTCATTCATTTGATAAAAATTAAGTATATAATAATATGAATGTTATAAGTTTTAATTCTAAATTTTTTTATTTAAAAAGATATGTTATAGAATAATATAAATTATATTTTAGAACCTTACTTAATAATTTCAAATTTTAAATTAAGATAGTTTTTTAATATAAATCAATATGTCTTGTATATAATATGTAATAGGTTGGTATTTAACTTAACGAAGTTAGGACAAAAATGTTGCTTCAATCGGTTACTTGTAGTAAAATTGGATGTAAGTTTATGGTTATTATTATTATTTGATATCTCTCTTCAATTTTCTTAATCACCTACAAGTTCGTTTTCTCAATCAGCTTAAGGGGACTATTTATTGTATTCCACGGCACTACTAGGTATTACAAGGATCATGATACAATAGATTTGATGAATATTTAGATTATATGGGTGGCATAGTATATATAGACAATTCCAAACATAAAAAGAGATAAGATCATAAAATAACTTGTCTAATATCCATAACATTTGATATAATTATTTAATATGTCTTAAATTTTTTTAGAAGATGCGTATGTTGTTTTTATAGTGTCAGTTGGATATAACCACCAAAGCTTAAATTACATTTCAAATTAGGTTTAAAGTTATTATTTTATTCAATTTTATTATTTTATTTAGTTAATTTTAAAAATTTTAGCATGATATCTGGTGTTTATATTATTTTTTTATTTGAATTGGAATTCTAATTATTTTTATTTTTAAAAATAAATTTAAAACCCATCTATTTAAAAGGTTGATCTCTATTTTGAAAGCAACCTATTAAAAAAGAAAAATTCAATAATAACATTAATTGGTGTGCTCACGTATCTCTTGGACCTTCTCTCTGTTTCCATAATTGCATGACACATGACTGCCAATGATTTAAATTAAAAAAATTTAAATTTTAAATTTATATAATTATATTACTTTATATTTAATTTTTATTAAATAAATAAGGATACTGAAATTTAAACTTGTAATTATTTAATTATTAAAATTTTAATATTATATTAAAGAATTATTCTAACCTTAAAATTGAAATTGTTAAATGAGATTTATTTTTAATATTTTAAATTTGTAATTATTTAATTATTAAAATTTTAATATAATTATTCTAATCTATAAATCTAATAAGTTAAATTACTAAATGAGATGTATTCTCTAATACCCTAAACTTCAAGCAGAAAGAAATGATGTCCCTATGGGCTTGTTGGAAAAATAGATTTCAAGGACACTTTGTCATGAACGTGAAACACGATTTTATATTCTATGCTTCTTTAAAGTTGTAGTGTAATAATTGTAACTATGTACGGAAAAGCAAATGGGAACATTTCATATTATAGTGTAATAATTGTAACTAACTATGTACGAGAAAGCAAATGAAAACAATTAAAGTAGGACTATTCCAAAAGAAAAAGGGGAAACCAGTAATAATTGACTTTCTTCTTTTTTGCTTGCCTATTTTAGAAGCAAGAATTCTAATCGATTTCAAGCTGTAATATTATGGTTTAACAAATGCAATCTATTTTTTCATATATAATGAACTAAGAAAAAAATATATTATAAAAAAATATAAGATAACTAATTTCAATATAAAAAATGTTGAATGGACTATACATTATAAAATTGAAGTTTTTTTTTAATGACCCCATTTCAATAATTTAATTTAATATGTTATGAGAATTTAATGATTAAATAATTAGAAATTCAAATCTCATAAATTTAACTTGAAACTGATGGATATGCAACTTAAGGGTAGAATTGTTTTTTATACAATTTTATATTCTATGCTTCTTTAGAGCAAATGAGAACATCTCATAGTATAGTGTAATAAGTGTAACTATGTACGAGAAAGCAAATGGGAATATTTTTATTATAGTGATTGAGAGATCATATTAATAAGATTTAGGCAATGCCATTAAAAAAATAACAAATTAACTAAAAGAAGCAAACAAGAACAATTAAAATACGATTCTTCCAAAAGGAAAAAAAAGGTTAAACAAGTAATAAATTAATTTCTTCTTTTTTGCTTGCCTATTTTAGAAGCAAGAATGTTAATCTTGATTTCAAGCTGCAATTAATATTATGGTTTAACAAATGCAATTCATTTTTCACTTATACTGAAACTAAGGAAGTTTTTTTTGACCGAAATCTAATCTTAATATATTTATTTTTATAATGATCATTTAAACAAGTTATTAAGCTAATATATACTTCTGGAAAAGGATTAATTAAATTATTAATATGGAAGAAAATATCCCTACAAAGGAGGAGCTCATCAGCAAGAATTCACCATAAAAGAAAAGTGTATTTTAAGAGATCGATACAAAGCACTATTTAATTATTTAAAATAAATAATAAGCTTAGATGGGTGCTGATAGTATGGAATGTTAGAAAGTTAGATATGCAATTATTTATAAAATTTAAATTTTTAGATTGAGATAAATTTATATAATATTATAATTGTATTTACCTAGAAGTAAGGATTTTGAATCTTGTAATTTTTATTCACTATAATTATATATTTTTTTAAAAGTATAAGGTAACTTTACTTTCATTTAAAAAAAAGATGTTAGAAAGTTAATATAAAATCATATCATTCTTAGAGATTCATGTGTTAGTACAAACATGTCCCTTATTGAATAAATACAAAAATATAAATAAATATAAAAGATGCTGAATGATTTAATTTAAAACGATATCCAAGTTTAATGACTAAATGATTAGAAGTTTTAATGGATGCGTTAAGCTAAATTCAATCATAAGAAATCAAAGGAAACGTATACATACAAGGAGCTGGTGCTAGCTTTACATGAACATATATATACGTTTTAACTGGAAGGAGAATCAACATATCTTTATTATATTCTCATAATAGGTTCACTTTATAAACCAAATAAGCAACACAAGGATCCTAACTTACTTTTTTCCTGAAAGAGGAATTAAGGGATTGTGTATATAGGGTTCTCAAACGACTTAATTCAGAAAAACTGCAAGCTAGGTTGTTTCTTTGTAGTCATCTCTCCGGAAACAAGTTTTCTTGTTGACATTGACTTTACCAAGAAGTAGGTGGAGGAGCATTTCGATCATTTCCATTACTAAAAGGTATGACGTACTGACAATTCTCCTTGAGTGCTTACTTCCTATTTTTGTTTTCCATTATATTAATGAGTTATATCATTTTTATGATTTCACCTTAATTAGCTTTGAATTGAGATTGTTCATTAACAATGGTCACTTAAGTAATTTTTTGCAGAGAGAAAACATGAGTTCTCTTCCTATAATGGGGACACCTTATAGAGCAGCCATGAGTGGAGATTGGAGAAGCATGCTTCACCATTATCAGGAACGTGTCCTAGATGTGCCCTTGCCAATTACGCTCTCTGCGGATACTGCACTTCATATAGCTGTCTACAGCAAACAAGAGCAACCACTTAAAGATTTACTTGGAATCGTGAAGGATAATGATTTCCTTGTACCTGATGAGGCAGAATTCCGTATAACTGATGAGACAGAGTCCCTTGAACCTGAGACAGAGTCCCTTGAACCTGAGATAAAATTTCTCAAGAGAAAAAACAAATTTGGAAATACGGCTCTTCACGAGGCAACCATCTATGGGAATTATGAGGCTGCAAAGCTCATGGTAGAACTTTGTCCAGACCTGCTTTTGATTCGAAATCATTTCGGTGAAACCCCATTGTTTACAGCTGCTGGATTTGCTGAGGCAGAAATAGTGGAGTTTTTAATCAGGTCCAAACCAGAACAATGCGTGGATGATAAGTGCCGCCTGTTATCAATTCACCGCAAGAGAAAGGAAGATGGCGTCTCCATCCTTAGCGCTGCTATCAAAGGGCAACACTTTGGTAACAATTATTCCTCTCTTTACATAATTCTCAATTTTAAAAAAGTATACTCATATATATAAGATATCGTATAATTCTTCTATGCCTAATTTCATGAATGCAGAAACAGCTTTACTATTGCTCCAACTGGATGAGTCGCTCCACAAGTTGAAGGACAAAGACGGCGTAACTGCTCTTCAACTTCTTGCCCAAATGCCAACCGCTTTTGAGAGTGGATTTCCCAGTGGGCATATGTGAAGGACTCATCTACTGCTGTATGCCTACACTAACCACATTATTAGACCCTACAATATTGCCTACACATTTCTTGTATGGATACCAAGGACACACACACACACACTTATATGTATATATGTGTATGCACACACACATATAAATTGAACTCTATATTTTGTTGCAGGCCTTCCTGTTAAACGTCACCACGAGGTAAAATCGCAGGTAGAAGCTTGGTTCGAGGAAAGAAAGAGGTCGAGAGATCTTGAGAGCGGTCAAGGGAGGAACTCTGAAGATCTGGGGAGCGGCTCGGAGAGGAATCAAAGAGGCGGCATACTGAAATATTTAAAGGTCCCTAAAGGTATTGGACACAATTAAGGCCCATTCTTTTGGTTTCAAGGCTAGGTGGTATTATATATTGAGCTACCTTTGTATATCGATTTTAAAATTTCATGGCTCTAACAAATATTTGAATCCGGTAGCCAACGTTAGTTTGAATATAACTGAGCCTCTCTCTATCTCTCTCTCTTTTTCAAAGGAAGATTTAATGGACCTGGGCTACACAAACAGAGTAGTTACTCCCAATTTCTAAATTTTAAGTGTTGTATTTCCAGTTTGCGGCGTCAAAAAGGATAAGAAATAATCTATCACGTTGCAGATTTTAATATCACGTCGTTAGTAGAGATACAACCACCTTTTGTTGTTGTTGTTCTCTTGTAATTATTTCCTAGTAGTAACTTCAATTTTTTTATTGAAATGATTTTTTAAATGATATTATAACTTTAATAATAAATAATCATGGATTTGAATTCTAGCTTCTAATATTAGAGATTTAGAGCCCGTTTGAAGTGGGTGGTTATTTCTCAACTTCATGCATCACTTACATTATTTACATAGGACTGGTGGTTCTAATATCTCATTGTTATTTAAAAAGGTGTATTAGTGAGATAATAAAAAACTATCCTTGTATTTATATTTTTACATTGAAATGTTTTTTTTACTCGAATAAACCTTATGCTTGAACTAGAAAAAAATAAAATTTGATGTTACAGGCCTGTTTAGGATTTTTTATAGAAATTATAGTTTAAAATGTTTTTTCTTAGAAATATATAAAAATAATATCTTTTTATTTTTTTAAATAATTTTATATCAGTACATTAAAATAATTTAAAAATATAAATATAAAAAATTTTTGATAAAAAACCAAAATTTAAAACAACACGATTTTTAGACCACGTTACCAAGCAAACTTACATCTTCATTAACTTACCAAGAGCTTTTGGTTCACGTCCTCTTATTAGATGCTTATGCAAATAATTCATGGGAGTCATCAGATATAGAGCCTCTTCCCAATGAACTAGATAAACTCTCTGTACGTAAATATCAAACAACAATTTTTTTTTCAATAAAAAATGGTTGCATTTTTATGGTTGCACGATTTAGATTCATTTCTTTTAGCTACGATTTCTTCTTATAATTATGTTGGTGTTGTTTTGTTTTCGATAGATTTTTTATATAACGGAAAGTTAGCCATGTAGTTTTTTACTACCTAATATAAAGTATAAGGCATGAAGGTAAAGAGAATTGCAAATATAAAGGTTTAGAACCAGACAATCATTATCTTTTTTCACCTTTAGCATGCCTCTATTTTTTCACGTTATACAATCATGATATTTTTTTGTTCATCCTTCTACTATCATTGTTAACATTTCTTTCTGTTTCTTAAAAATGGCTAGCTCTCATCCATGTTTAATTTCATTCCCCTTCGCATGAACATGAAGTGAGATGTTGGCTAGATGGATTCTGGAACCGGAAAAGAAAGCATGTATTTGCTTTGATACTCGCCAAAAACCTAATAGAGAAAGATGAGTCATTGAATAAAGTCAGCCTACCAAAGGAAGGACTGGGTAGGAAACAATACAGAAAGGGAGAAAACCAGTTCCCTGAATTCAATAGCAAAGGAAAAGGTACAGAAGAAATTTCTGAAAGGAACTCATCATTGAAGGAGAAGATCCCATTGTTTATTGCAACCAAAAATGGAAAAGAAGAAATTGTGTTGGAGATAATGAAAAAATATCCCGATGCTATTGTGCTGCTTAATGAAACGAACTCGTCATTAACTAGGAAGGAGCATATCCCATTGTTTATTGCAACTATAAATGGAATAGAAGAGATTGTGTGGGAGATAATAAATCAATATCCCCACGCTGTTGAGCATCTCAATGAGGAGGGGCAGAGCATTTTGAATGTGGCCGTCAAGCATCGCCAGAAAAAAATGGCCGTCATGCATCGCCAGAAAGAGATCTTCAATCTTGTGAAGCAACAGAAAGTACCATTGGCTAGACTGCATCGAGTAATTGATAAGAAGGGCAACACATTGTTGCACCATGTTGCAGATATGGAGCATTACAGAGGAGGAACCAAGCCTGGGCCTGCACTTAAACTTCAGGAGGAGTTGCAATGGTTTGAGGTGGGACCTTTTCTTCCCTTTTTCTTTACCTCCTGACAAAAATTATTCATGGACTTGGTACAGGATTATCCGTCTTGTGTATTAGAGCACCAAACCTATTAAAACATTTGTTTCAATCAAAATATGCAATCCAGTTAAGGTTATAGAAAAACCGTTAAACTGTAAAAAATTGATTTTAATGCTAATGAAAGGTAGACATGTCACCTAATTAAGACATCAGGCTGATCTAGTTCTCCTTGTCACCCGAACCAACAACTTAAATAGTATTAAAAATTATACTGAATTAAATAATACGTTGTTTTATTTACAAACTCCATTTATATAACAATCATATTTATCTCCCGATTATTGCAGCAAGTGCAAAAGGTAATTCCTTCTCATTATGTCACGCTTCGGAACGATGAAGGCAAGACTGCAGACGAGCTCTTCAAAGAGAGTCACCAGGACCAACTGAAAAATGCACAGAAATGGATAAAGGAAACGACTCAGTCTTGTTCCACAGTAGCTGCACTTGTTGCTACTGTTGTCTTTGCTGCTGCCTATACTGTGCCCGGAGGTTCTGATAAGAATGGCACGCCCAACTTCATCAACTCTCCCTATTTTCTGGTTTTCACTATCTCGGATGTTCTTTCCTTAGCAAGCTCCTTGACTTCGCTTGTGGTATTTCTGTCTTTGTTGACCTCTCCATTTGAGCTACAAGAATTTCGCATCTCTCTTCCTCGGAAACTTCTTGTTGGCTTCACCTTCCTCTTCTTTGCTGTGATAACGACCATGCTATCTTTTGGGGCCACAATCTTGATACTCATTCAGTCAGAGAAAAAGTTGACAACATTACTCCTTTCCATTGCTGCATTCCTTCCAGTCTTAGTATTTGCAATAATGCAATTCCGTCTGTATGTCTCATTTATGGGCTCCACATGCAACATTCTCAGGATAACCGTACATACAACATTCTCAGGATAACCGGGAAAGCTCTGCCACCGTTTCTTGCCCCTTGCCTACCACGGGAGAAAAAGCTCCGTCGAGTTGATTAATATGGGAGATTTAAATGGCAGAGGTTATTCCATTTTCTTGATGGTTTGAACCTCTACCATAGATCATTACATGTGTGTTTTATTGCATGTATGGTTGTGATTCAATTTCGTGATATTTATGTGGTTGCGCTGTTTACAATGACGGCCTTAAGCCGGTATGTATTATATATAGTGTTGTCGTCCACTTTTGGATTCCCACGAAAAAAAATAAAATAAAAATATAAAAATTACATATCAACAAATATATTCGAAAGGAATTAAAAAAAAAAGTGAGAAAAAGATGCTAGAACACCCATGAAATGGCTAAAAATTAGTTGAGGAGATTTATAAATATAAAAATTAAAATTTGACATTATATTTTTTATTGATAAAAGCCCTGTTGTAAAAAAAAAATTCAAGTTAAGAAAGAAAAGTTTAAAATCAGATGTTTATGAACTAATTAAATTTTATCTGAAGTTTAATTGAATTTATGGAAGGTTGGATTGTAAAAAAAATTGATTTTTAAGTCAATTTAGGCTTTTATTTGAACAAATTAATGTTCTGGGGTCCAATTATAATTTTGAAGAGTTGATTTGATCAAATTAGGGGCTTAATTGCATAATTATTGAAGTTTGATGGCCAATTAGAGACTTGATTGAAACAATCGAAATCAAGACCAAACCGGAAAAGACACTAAAATCAAAGGATCCAATTACAATTTACTTGGGGGGCTTGATTATAAAATTGTAAAAACATCCAATAACCAAATCACAAATATCCATGTTCATAGGAAAACGGTGCCTTTTCAGAGCAATATTTCATCACCTTTCTTTAAAGCCAATTCAGCAAATAATCATTTCAGCAATAAAAACAGCAAATTGCTTCAGTTATAGGGAATGTTTCATGACTACTATTCCTCTTCATGCCATTACCAAGCTGAACCTTGCATCACAAGACATTCTTTAGCTTATAAAAGCTAGAGAAAGACAATGAAACAAGGAGGGGAAACATTGGAGGGAGAACGAGATAGAGAGGAGAAAAAAACAGGACAAAGAGGGATAGTGTAAGGAAGAGGAGAAGAGAGAAAAAAGAGAGGAAGACAGGGAACAATACAAAACAAAAAGGGAGGGGAACAGAAGAGAGAGGAGACACAAGACAAAGAAAGGGAAGAATTAAAAAAAAAAACAAAGGGGGGAGAGGCTCACACCTCTACACAGAGAAGAGAAGAGCCATTGTCGCCCCCTACAGCAACTCCACCGGTCAGCAACCTCTATC